TCCCACAATAGCCGCCGCTCTTTCAAGGGTGCGCAGCTTCTGCTGGCTTTCCCCCAGGAGGGAGGAGGGACTGACTGGTCACGTCAGTCCCTTCTCCCTCCTCGTAGAAAAGCCCACTTGAGCTGCACGCTCCTTAAAGGGTGTGCGGCTCCTGTGGGCTTTTGCGGGAGGGAGTTCCGCCACCTCCCGCTAAAGCAGGAGAAGCTCGGGGGAATAATATTTTTTCCTTGATTTCCCCTCTAAAAACTAGGTGCGCCTTATGGTCAGGTGTGCCTTATGAAGCGAAAAATACGGTAAGCTTCCTCCACTTTACAAAAACCAGTTATTTCACTTTTGCTGCTCACTGTTCTGTATTGACGATAAAGTTTATTTTAGGGTGTGGTGTTTTTTTTAAAAAAAAGAAAACTTTTCCTGCTTGCTCTTAGTACATGTTAGGGGAGGAGGGGGGAAGGTTCAGGTTAAAGAAAGTTTAAACCGAACAATAAAGCTCGAGCGGATTAGAATGGGGTGAGTGGAGAGGTTTAAGTGCCCTTTCTCTGCTCCGAGAACCTTCCGTGGATCAAAACGTATTAGGTGCTCTCTTGCTATTTTATCTGCCCAAGCTGGTATTAAACCTATCTGTGGTCTCACTCACTGACCATAATTTGGATATTCTCCAAGGAATACTTACTCCTTAGCTTCTTGTAGACTATTAAGTGTGGAAGCAATTTAAATTCGCGCACTTTTAAGACCAGTGGGGGACCGCTGCAATTATCTAGTCTGACCTCATGTGTACATAGGATATGGAATTCATCCTGGTTGGATTAAAGCATATCTTTCAGAGAGATTTCTTATTTCAATTTAGAAACTCCATATAGCAATGGATTGATTACGTTATGTCTTAGGTGCTTCCCTGTGTAATTATCCACAGTGCTTGAAAGTTAAATCTCTCTCTGCTAGTTTTTAACTTTTGGTTCTGGGCATTTGAAGAGTCTTCACTGTCTTTTGTCTGGGTTTCTAAGGCCTGGTACAGATACCATATCACCCTTAATCGTAGTTGGGCAGTCGAATTGGTTCTTCGGTTTTGTTTTAAGGCACTTTCTCACACTTCCTTTAGAAATAACCCCGGGTGGCCTCAACCACGATTAAAATTTATGTTTCTTCTTATCTTAGAATCATAGAATCATAGAATCATAGAGTTGGAAGAGACCACAAGGGCCATCGAGTCCAACCCCTGCCAAGCAGGAAACACCATCAGAGCACTTCTGACATATGGTTGTCAAGCCTCTGCTTAAAGATCTCCAAAAAAGGAGACTCCACCACACTCCTTGGCAGCAAATTCCACTGTCGAACAGCTCTTACTGTCAGGAAGTTCTTCCTAATGTTTAGGTGGAATCTTCTTTCTTGTAGTTAATAGAATCATAGAATCATAGAATCATAGAGTTGGAAGAGACCACAAGGGCCATCGAGTCCAACCCCCTGCCAAGCAGGAAACACCATCAGAGCACTCCTGACATATGGTTGTCAAGCCTCTGCTTAAAGACCTCCAAAGAAGGAGACTCCACCACACTCCTTGGCAGCAAATTCCACTGTCGAACAGCTCTTACTGTCAGGAAGTTCTTCCTAATGTTTAGGTGGAATCTTCTTTCTTGTAGTTTGGATCCATTGCTCCGTGTCCGCTTCTCTGGAGCAGCAGAAAACAACCTTTCTCCCTCCTCTATGTGACATCCTTTTATATATTTGAACATGGCTATCATATCACCCCTTAACCTCCTCTTCTCCAGGCTAAACATGCCCAGCTCTCTTAGCCGTTCCTCATAAGGCATTGTTTCCAGGCCTTTGACCATTTTGGTTGCCCTCCTCTGGACACGTTCCAGTTTGTCAATGTCCTTCTTGAACTGTGGTGCCCAGAACTGGACACAGTACTCCAGGTGAGGTCTGACCAGAGCAGAATACAGTGGCACTATTACTTCCCTTGATCTAGATGCTATACTCCTATTGATGCAGCCCAGAATTGCATTGGCTTTTTAGCTGCCGCGTCACACTGTTGGCTCATGTCAAGTTTGTGGTCAACCAAGACTCCTAGATCCTTTTCACATGTACTGCTCTCAAGCCAGGTGTCCCCCATCTTGTATTTGTGCCTCTCATTTTTTTGCCCAAGTGCAATACTTTACATTTCTCCCTGTTAAAATTCATCTTGTTTGTTTTGGCCCAGTTCTCTAATCTGTCAAGGTCGTTTTGAAGTGTGATCCTGTCCTCTGGGGTGTTAGCCACCCCTCCCAATTTGGTGTCATCTGCAAATTTGATCAGGATGCCCTTGAGTCCATCATCCAAGTCGTTGATAAAGATGTTGAATAAGACCGGGCCCAAGACAGAACCCTGTGGCACCCCACTAGTCACTCTTCTCCAGGATGAAGAGGAACCATTGATAAGCACCCTTTGGGTTCGGTCAGTCAGCCAGTTACGAATCCACTGAGTGGTAGCATAGTCAAGACCACATTTTACCAGCTTCTTTACAAGAATATCATGAGGCACCTTGTCAAATGCCTTGCTGAAATCAAGGTAGGCTACATCCACTGCGTTCCCTTCATCTACCAGGCTTGTAATTCTGTCAAAAACGAGATCAGGTTAGTCTGACATGACTTATTTTTCAGAAATCCATGCTGACTGTTGGTGATCACAGCATTCCTTTCTAGGTGTTCACAGACTGTTTGCTTAATGATCTGCTCCAGAATCTTCCCTGGTATTGATGTCAGACTGACTGGGCGGTAATTATTTGGGTCCTCTCTTTTCCCCTTTTTGAAAATAGGGACAACATTTGCCCTCCTCCAGTCTGCCGGGACTTCGCCTGTTCTCCAGGAATTCTCAAAGATGACTGCCAGCGGTTCTGAGATCACATCTGCCAGTTCTTTTAATACTCTTGGATGCAGTTCATCTGGCCCTGGAGACTTGAATACATCTAAACTAGCCAAGTATTCTTGTACTATCTCCTTAGTTATTCTGGGCTGTGTTTCCTTTGCTGAATCATTTGCTCCAAATTCTTCAGGTCGGGCATTGTTTTCTTTATCGGAGAAGACTGAGGCAAAGAAGGCATTGAGGAGTTCAGCTCTTTCTGTGTCCCCTGTTTGCATTTCACCATCTTCTCCTCTGAGTGACCCCACTGTTTCTTTGTTCTTCCTTTTTGCTACGGACATACCCATAAAAGCCTTTTTGTTGCTTTTAACCTCTCTAGCAAGCCTGAGTTCATTCTGTGCTTTAGCTTTTCTGACTTTGTGTCTACACGTGCTGGCTATTTGTTTGAATTCCTCTTGGTGGTTTCCCCTTTTCCATTTTTGTACACATCCTTTTTAATCTTAACTCAGTTAAAAGTTCTTTAGATAGCCACCCTGGCTTCTTTAGGCACCTTCCATGTTTCTGTCTCATTGGTATTGCCTGACGTTGTGCTTTTAGTATCTCCCTCTTAACAAACTCCCAGCCATCATGAACTCCCTTTCCTTTTAGTATTACTGTCCATGGGATCTCACCCAGCACTTCCCTAAGTTTTATGAAGTCAGCTTTCTTAAAGTCAAGAAATTGAGTCCTAGTATGCTTAGCTGCTCCTTTCCGCTGTATAGTAAACTTCAGAAGAGCATGATCACTCGCGCCTAATGATCCTTCCACTTCTACCCCACTAACCAGGTCATCAACATTGGTTAGGACCAGATCTAAAATGGCTGTTCCTCTTGTTGCTTCTCCCACTTTCTGGACAATGAAGTTGTCTGCAAGGCCAGTGAGGAATCTGTTTGACCTTATGCTCTTGGCTGAGTTTGACATCCAACAAATATCCGGGTAATTGAAGTCCCCCATTACTACTATCTCCCTTCCTTTTGCATGCTTGGCCATCTGTTCCAGGAAGGCATCATCCATGTCCTCCGTTTGGCTTGGGGATCTATAGTAAACTCCCACAATGAGTTTGGATCCATTGCTCCGTGTCCGCTTCTCTGGAGCAGCAGAAAACAACCTTTCTCCCTCCTCTATGTGACATCCTTTTATATATTTGAACATGGCTATCATATCACCCCTTAACTTCCTCTTCTCCAGGCTAAACATGCCCAGCTCCCTTAGCCGTTCCTCATAAGGCATCGTTTCCAGGCCTTTGACCATTTTGGTTGCCCTCCTCTGGACACGTTCCAGTTTGTCAGTGTCCTTCTTGAACTGTGGTGCCCAGAACTGGACACAGTACTCCAGGTGAGGTCTGACCAGAGCAGAATACAGTGGCATTATTACTTCCCTTAATTAACACTAAACTTTGACAAAGCTTGGTTAATCACGTTAATTGGTATGGTTGCTGCCACTGTAATCCTGTTTTCAGGCAGGTATGAAGAACTGAGTATGGAATGATTATGGCATTTTGTTTCCACATCAGATTGAGAATTTTAAAAATCCTCTCAAAATATGTACAGTGGTATCTCGGGTTAAGTACTTAATTCGTTCTGGAGGTCCGTACTTAACCTGAAACTGTTCTTAACCTGAAGCACCACTTTACCTAATGGGGCCTCCAGCTGCCGCCATGTCACCGGAGCACGATTTCTGTTCTCATCCTGAAGCAAAGTTCTTAACCTGAAGCACTATTTCTGGGTTAGCGGAGTCTGTAACCTGAAGCGTATGTAACCTGAAGCGTATGTAACCCGAGGTACCACTGTACTACAGTACATATTCTCAGATTATTACTATTAAACACAACAAAATCAGTGAGTAACCCCCCACAAAACCAAGTCTTATGAGGAGCTGTTGAAGGACCTAGGTATGCTTAGCTTGGAAAAGAGGAGACTGAAAGGAGATATGTGAGCCATTTTCATCTCAATGGTTGTCACATGGAAGATGGAGTACCGTATATACTTGAGTATAAACCGACTTTTTCTGTACATTTTTTATGCTGAAAAGCCCCTCGGCTTATACTCGAGTGAGGTGGGCGACAGCGGTGGAGGGAGGAATGGCCCAAAATGAGCCCTTTCTTGCCGCTGGTCCCACCGCCCGCTTCTGCAAGGGCAGGCACAGAAGCCGCGGGTGGGAGAGTCGCTGCACTGTGCCTCTCCCAACCGCGGCTCCTATGCCTGCTCTTGCGAGTGGCAGAAGCAGCGACGGAGGGACGAGCAGCCCGAAAGGAGCCCTTTTGGGCTGCTTGTTCTTACTCCACCGCCACCGCCACCATCACCAGGTTTGTGGTGTGGTGAACCAGCTTACACTTGAGTCAATAAGTTTCCCCAGTTTTTTGTGCTGAAATTAAGTGCCTCAGCTTATATTTCGGTCGGCTTATACTCGAGTATATACGGTAAGTTTGTTTTCTCCTGCTCTGGTGGGAAGGACTCAAACCAATGGCTTCAAGTGACAAGAAAGGAGATTCCGACTCAACATCAGGTAGAACTTTCTGACAGTAAGAGCTGTTCGACAGCAGAATGGTCTCTCTCAGGAGGTGGTGGGCTCTCCTTCCTAGGAGGTTTTGAAGCAGAGGTTGGATGGCCATCTGCCAGGGATGCTTTAGTTGAGTTTCCTGCGTTGCAGAGCGTTGGACTAGATGGTCCTTCCCAGCTCCTTCAACCACTCCTCATAAGGCATGGTTTCCAGATCCTTGATCCTCATGGTTTCCCTCCTCTGCACACCTTCCAGCTTGTCAACATCTGTGGCGATTGCCTCCTAGGTGGGTCATAAGGAAAGGGTTAAATGAGTGTGATGTGATTGGCCAGTGGGGACCCAAGGGGAGGAGTTAGAGTGAGAGTCGGAGTTGTGTGGAAGTCAGTAGAGGGTTGGGAGTTGGAGAAGGAAGAGGGAGGATAGGTCTGTGGGTTGGTTGAGTTGTGTTATGAGAGAGTGAGAGAAACTGATAGGAGTCAGATAGACAGTTGGGTTAATCATAGAATCATAGAGTTGGAAGAGACCACAAGGGCCATCGAGTCCAACCCCCTGCCAAGCAGGAAACACCATCAGAGCACTCTGACATACGGTTGTCAAGCCTCTGCTTAAAGACCTCCAAAGAAGGAGACTCCACCACACTCCTTGGCAGCAAATTCCACTGTCGAACAGCTCTTACTGTCAGGAAGTTCTTCCTAATGTTTAGGTGGAATCTTCTTTCTTGTAGTTTGGATCCATTGCTCCGTGTCCGCTTCTCTGGAGCAGCAGAAAACAACCTTTCTCCCTCCTCTATGTGACATCCTTTTATATATTTGAACATGGCTATCATATCACCCCTTAACCTCCTCTTCAGTTAGCAGTTATTAGAAAAGGTATAAGCCGGCATAGAAACTAAGATTAAGAAACTGACAAGAAAAATTAACTGAAACCTTACATGCTTATAAAAATAAAATTGATTATTCGTTAATGTTAACAACTGTCTGGACTCCGTGTGTACCCGAGAGAAACGGGTTGGTGGCAGCGGGGAAGTGAGCACAGTGGTGGCACAGGGATCAATAGACCGTCAAACGTCCAGGGACCCTGTGTGATCGCCACAACATCCTTCATAAGTTGTGGTGCCCAGAATTGGACAATGGCGTGGCCTGACGAAGGCGGAATAGAGTGGCACTATTGCTTTCCTTCCCTTAACTGTTGAGGCAGCTACCAACTCTAGAGGGTTGTCCTGCAAGCTGTGTTCCTCATGGCTGACTTAGCACAATATTAGAAGTGACAGCAGGGCAGGGGGCTGATTACCTCATACAACACGGGGTTTTTGCACAACTCTTGCTGTTTCTTGTTGCATCACTTGCATTTACCCTGATAGTTCCCAGATTGTTGTTCGGACTAGTTGGGGGATCAGCAGTTGGAACTGGCGCAGTCCCCAGGCAGCCTCCAGATCATATATGTGCAGATTCATGCGCAATGACACATTAAAAACCTTCCATCTGGAAGAACTCTTAAGTTCCTTTCTCATTACCTTCTTTACAAATGGTCTTCCAATCTGTGAACGTATCATGGTTTCTTTGGCCTTTTTGGAGAGGGGCGGGATAATGTTCTATACACTTTGGCCCAAAGGTACATGATGCAGAAACATCACATCAGTACCTGGATAGAAGATCATTAGAGTCCTATGCATGTTATATGTATATAGAGTTTTGTTGAAGGAAGATGAGATATCAATACTCTATTAGTGCTGATTTTTGTTGTCTGTTCTAAAAGGCAGAATCGACCCAGAACCCTCTGTTACTGACCTATGGTACTCTAATGCTACCATTTATTACATCACTGAAAATTTTTATCCACAAGTAATTTTATTATTAATGCCGTTCTGTCCTATATATCTCCTAAGAGACCGGAGACGAAAACTCTGCAATTATTAACTTAGGGTGGGATTCCATTGCCCTCAAAGTGTCCCTATTTTCCAGGGACAGTCCTGGAATTACAAAAGCCTTTCCGGCTTCTGATTTGATCCAAGAATGTCCCTATTTCTCCTGCCAGTGCCACAGCCGCCGAGCTGTGGCAGGAGGGTGAGACGGCACTTGTCCTAAGCGGTGGTAGTGGCAGCAGTGGCAGCTGCGAAGGAGCATACTGGTGCCTCTCCATGGCTGCAGCCGCCGCCAGCCTCCTCCCTTGGACAGCCTGTAGCGGCTGCTGGACAGCGGACGAGAAGAAGGGAAGGCTGCCGCAGCCATGGAGACCTAGCCTCACGTGATGCGCACGCTCTGAGGTGCAGGCAGAGGGCAAGGCCACCCTGGGTGGGAAGAAAGGGGGAGCCAAGGCGAGTGCGAGGAATCCTGATACAGTCATACCTCGGGTTGAAGTTGCTTCAGGTTGAGCACTTTCAGGTTGCGCTCTGCGGCGACCCGGAAGTAATGGAGTGCGTTACTTCCAGGTTTTGCTGCTCGCGCATGCGCTCAAAATGATGTCACGCGCATGCGTGGAAGTGGCGAATCATGACCCACGCAGACGCGGGTTGCGTTCGCTTCAGGATGCGAACAGGACTCTGGAACGGATCCCGTTCGCATCCAGAGGTACCACTGTACTTACTTTACTTTAAAAATGCTAACTAATTTTGCCCCTTTTGAAAACTTGTTTATTGGTGTGTGGTTTTCTTGTTGTAAATCTACTCAGGGACCAGCAAACTTTTTCAGCGGGGGGCCGGTGCACTGTCCCTCAGACCTTGTGGGGGGCCGGACTGTATTTTGAAAAAAAGAGAAATGAATGAATTCCTATGCGCCACAAATAACCCAGAGATGCATTTTAAATAAAAGCACACATTCTACTCATGTAAAAACACGCTGATTCCTGGACCATTTGCTGGCCGGATTTAGAAGGCAATTGGGCCGGATCTGGCCCCCAGGCCTTAGTTTGCCTACCCATGCACTAAAGAATAAAATCAGGATTAAGGAGTTTTCTCAGGATGGCGGAGGGCCTGTGTTCTGTTTCCGGTTGGTGTGGCAGTGGTGGAAATGCCCAGCGGGGGAGGGGGGCAAAAATGGGGTGTTGAGGAGGGACATTTAGGGGGCGGAATGAGAAATGTCCCTGTTTTTACCCAAGGAATGTTGGAGGGTATGGGATTCAGCTAAACTAGTCCTGCTACTGGAAGCCCCATGTAAGGTCTTCCACAGTGAGACTTCTACTCCTTTCCTCCGTGCAGTGCCGGATTTACATATAAGCTAAACAAGCTATAGCTTAGGGCCCCACTCTCTTGGGGGCCCCCAAAAAAACTAATGGGAAAACCATGTACATTTCCAAAATATAAGATAAAAAACAAATAAAATAAAGTCTACGTACAGCAACAGTGTTTTGTGTTGTGTAGGCTCCTATGATGTAAGTAATGGGCCCTGCCTGCTAGCCTGCTCAGTAAAATATCAGTGGTAGTTATTTCACTATTAATATACTTCTTCTTAATTGTATTTCAGTTCAACAGTTACTTTGAGAGCCAGTGTGGTGTAGTGGTTAAGAGCGGTAGTCTCGTAATCTGGGGAACCGGGTTCACGTCTCCGCTCTTCCACATGCAGTTGCTGGGTGACCTTGGGCCAGTCACACTTCTCTGAAGTCTCTCAGCCCCACTCACCTCACAGAGTGTTTGTTGTGGGGAAGGAAGGGAAAGGAGATTGTTAGCTGCTTTGAGACTTCTTAGGGTAGTGATAAAGCGGGTTATCAAATCCAAACTCTTCTTCTTCTTCTTCTTTGATAAAATACATATTTTGTTATGTTCAAATGGCTTGAGATACCTATTAGGCCCATAAATTACCATATAGCACATATTCAACACAAAAAACAGCGACAATTTGTTTTTGGCAAAGGACAGCTGGACATATAAAGGGCCCTATTACCTTCAGTAGCTTAGGGCCTCATCAAACCGAAATTCAGCCCTGCCTCCATGCGCCCATTGAAATTGGCTCTGAAGGATTGGGAGAGAAGATGGAGATTGTTCCATATGGGAAGCTGAAAAACTTGCCATGATGACACAACTGCATTTGCACTATGTTGAATTCCTCCATTAGTAACTAAACCATGCTTGTCTGGAGACAGTGCAGATTTCAGTTCATGCTTGCACACACTCCTGAACATGCGCAACCATTTCAGAGTCAGGCTCAGTGGCTGTTCCTCACTGACAGGATACAGTGGTACCTCAGGTTAAGCACTTAATTCGTTCCAGAGGTCCGTTCTTAACCTGAAATTGTTCTTAACCTGAAGCACCACTTTAGCTAATGGGGCCTCCTGCTGCCGCTGGAGCACGATTTCTGTTCTCATCCTGAAGCAAAGTTCTTAACCTGAAGCACTGTTTCTGGGTTAGCGGAGTCTGTAACCTGAAGCGTCTGTAACCTGAAGTGTATGTAACCTGAGGTACCACTGTATATATTTTATAACATTTGGGATGCTGCAAAGGCCGATCTGATACTACAACTTTAATCATATAGACTTTTTTATTTTTAATTAGTAACAAGCCAAATAATCAGCAACAAGTTATATTTTAAAGTCAGCAGAGACTACTGTACATTTTTAAGAGCAGGGAGACCCGCATATAATCAGCTAGATCTACTCAGCCCCAAGGGAAAAGAAAACCCTGTTGTGAGTTTGACACTGGAAGGCTAGTTAGTGAAGTGAAAGTTTTCAGAATTGTCAAATTTAGGCAAAACACATTTTTAGGATGATGGGACCTAACGAAA